AGCACAATGTTTTCTATTTACATTACTGGCAACATTGTTTATTGCTATAATTTATCTGGAAATGGTCATGTTCTTCCTTTCGTCATTCGCCAGTTTACATACAATATGTTCAATTACTAAGGAATATTGTACTTTTATTACTTTCAGTGAATAATACAAAAAATCAAAAACAAATCATTTTCGATAAAGTGGATATGCCGCTCTCCACATATCACATAACGTAAATTCCGAGAGTAATAATTTCGTTCACTATATCAACGTATTCTACTTCATCGTGTGTATATGAAAACTATGCACGGTACCATTTATAACCATTTAGCATGTGGGCTTAACCTTATCTCGCGATGACCGCAGAGCTTTATAGAATGCAAAATTGACTATTTTGTAATATTTTGTTGCTATAACAACTGCTTAGGAAGCAGGATAATGCAGGTGTCTATGCACTTTTTTCCGTTCACCATTTTATTTCAGATGGAAAGATCTTTAGGCAGATTTGCCGTGACATTCTACATGGTACATTAATTTCCTCAAGAATACTACATAATGCTAATGTACTGTACAGTGTGTATACATACATGCATACATACATACATATATATATGTATATATATACATATATATATATATATATATATATATACACACACACACACACACATACATATGAATACTCTGCAGTAATATATAAATTACGTTATGAAAGAAAACAACTCCCATAGTTCAAGCAATTTCATTTTATGTTGTATTCATACTGCTGGTCTTGTTCAAGTACATTGTTAAATGCCGAATAACAAGCACTCAATTTAAGCATCCCAGGAACTGAAGTATCCTTCCTTAACGCTGCATGTGAAAATACCGTATATGTTATCGTATAAAGCGGCATCTGAAGCTTAAAGATCTCTCTACAAAACCGCGGTCAACATCTACGCTAATTTAGGAATGTAGAACTGACACACTTTATTTGTAAATTTCCCGTAACTTTCGCACCCTTCCACAATTATTTCCTACTGAAACATGTATAGTAAGTCTATATGATGAGATTCTAACAATAGCTGTAACAACTCACAGGGGTGGTTAGGGTCGTTAAGGTTAGGTTAGATTGGTTTGCTTCTACAACTTATTCGCGATTAGAATGTCTTAGAAGGAAAGTGTGAGAATTGCGTATGAGATAGGACTGGGGAATTGGAGCTGCTCTAACTTTGGGATTTGTTATCCAGCGGATATAGGCCTATACCTTTATTACACCAAAATTTTAGGTGTCGACTTGTTCGCCGGTACATAAGGTAAATATGTCCTAGCAGTGTATATTTCACCCAAATGCTGTTGTTTTTTCACAGTTTTATGGGTATTACATAACATATATGCTGCGCCGATGTCCTGGCTGAAAATCCTAACCGTTATTATCACTTGAAATTATCTGTCAAATCAAAAGTTAGGGTTGTTAGCGGACTATGAACAGCCTTTCGAATACGATGCAAACAATCAATGTAACTGAACTATATACTATGGTGATTATTTCTTTGAAAATGTATTAGAAATGGGGTGATGATTCATAATAGTGATTATTTCTTTGAAAATGTATTAGAAATGGGGTGATGATTCATAAAATTGAATGGAGTAGGTTGTAGGAAACGGAATAATCGATTTGCTTTTTTTGTAGTAACGCATTCCCTACCACTATTTTGATGACCCCATTTTGATGACAACAGAATAAGGAATCTGAAATTGTTATTCTTGCTCTTACTTTCGAAACTTCAGGAGCTCCGTTTCCCAGGACGTAAGGGTGACTCTTCTTCCATTATTTCAGGAAGAAATTTGAAATATTTTCTTTTAAAATATGCATTAGTATGTCACGACGGTCTTTCTAGAAATGGTCTTCATCAAATTGGAAGGTAAATTTTTCGTTTTTAATTCAGATATAGGAAAAATTGAGTATAAATTCATATACATGCCTATCAAACATAAATAGATAAATAAATCAACAAATAAACAATGGAAATAAAATCACCTTGTCGTTTTTTTTTATCATATATTTTTTTCTTCTTAAAATGACTCACATTCGCACTTCCACATAACTATGAATAAACATCTATGATACCTACAAGAAAAAAAAAAATGCCTCACGAAACAAGAAAATAAAGAAAATCCGTGAGACAAGTTGGATCTAACAGCAAGACATACATCTATTTATATAAGAATATCACAGGGCAAATTAGAGGTATAGCCGAAGCCTGCTTAGCGAAGGCCAGCCGAGGAGGAGTCCGCCTCCCTCGCCAGTGTTGACTAACAGTGTAAACCAGAGGAACATCTAGACACACAAAGACCAAAGGCTGACACGTGTTTTTTTAATCAGTGACGGATTGACTTTCTTCCCAGAATCGGATTGAGGTGTTTGATTAAATAAATGGAGTTTTTTTTCCTTTGATTATTATTATTTTTTTCTCATCGAGTGTATTTAATTTTTTCTTACGATTTTGGCGATGGATATACACGTGAATGC